ACGCTGCTTTTAGAGGACACAAAGGCACAAGGGGGCGCTCTTGCGCTACGCTCGTATCTGGAAGCTCACACGCAGGTTCAGCAACATGCTCTGGCCACCCTTCTAGCGTCTGGTTTCTGTCTGTCTTGCAGTTTGTGGCTGGGGAATGAGGAAGTAAGGCAATGCAAGAAGCGATGGCATGCAGGACAAGATGCGGCAGCAAGCCAAGGAGTGGGCCCTTTTTAATAAACACATGAACTGAGAGAAGATGGCCAAAAGCACAAAAAGAAATGTGCTGTTTTTCCCAATATCTGGAAACTAGGGCAAAAAACCCCCATGGCGGTAGAAGGGGACAGACAAGAGGAAAGGGAGGGACCGAGAACGGAGGGGAGGCCATCAGGGAGGAAGGGTGTGTGGGAAACATTCTACATGTTTACTGCATGTTACTGTGAAGTGTGAAGATGCCTCACTGAAGCTGAATATTTAAGAATTTAGGGATTTCTTTTTTTATTTCCAATCTGAGTTCCTCTATACCTTTCTGCAGCTGTTTCTTTATTTCAGAAACCGTTGATTCATTGCTTTCAGCTGTGTGATTCCCAATTTGTTCTGTGTTAGTGTCCTCTGCACTTGTTACGGGTGGGCTTGGGTTCTGAGTTTGCATTTTGTTCCTTCTTGTCATTTTGTGTAGCACTGTCTTCTGACCTTTGTTGTAGATCTTCGTTGTAGTTATAACTTTAGCACCTACTGAAGTTCAGGTGCAGCTCTACAAAGTTTGGACTTACCCAGCTGCGTCTGGCTTGGGTCTGGCTGCTGTGCTCAGCTCCTTCCCGCTGCTGCCCTTGAGGGTGAACCTGTTGTGCCCCTCTGGCAAGATGTTCTGCTCCTGGACTAGCTGGGTGGATCTATCCTCTACACTCTCTGCAGGGATTGCAGCTGCAGGGTTACACCCCAGGCATGTATGCCAGGCCTGAGCTGTGCCTGGAGGGGACAAGGTGGAGTAGGGGGCAGAGGCAGCTCTCCCACACACTCACCGGGCCTGGGCTAGCACTGGGTCTGGGGGTTCCCGGAGCGCAGCAGAAATTCCTACTTGGAGGGCAGGGTCAAGGAGGTGCTGCGGAGCGGTGGGGGGCGTCCCAAGCGGGTGGAAGAGGGTCTTACCCATGCTGCGCCTGGGCTGGGACCAGTAATAGGTCCTGCCAGCGCAGGGTAGCAGGAAGCTCTCCCACACACTCACCGGACCTGGGCTAGGACTGAATATTTAAAAATTTAATGTGCACTAATGCAATGTGTATATATTGGAAAAATGAAATGTGCTGGGCAAGTGGAATCTCAGAGTCGGTCTCATAGAAGTTGAGGGCAGAATGGTGGTTGTCAGAGCCTGGGTGAAATGCAGGTAATGGGAGGAGAGCAGGAGAAGGTCCACACACGGGGTAGGGCTGGTGCCGAGCAGCAGCCGCATCAGGTGCTCTATGGTACAGCATGGTGAACGCCATTCCCAGCAGTGCCTCGTGTGTCTCAGGATATTTAGGAGAGAGCAGTTTGGACGTGCTCACTGTAAAGCAATGAGGAATGTCTCAGGGTGACGGCTCTGTCAGTCACCCTGAGCTGATCATTTCTCACTATGTACAGGAATCAAAACACCCCCTGTCCCTCACAAGCACGCAATGCATTCTATGTCCATCAAAGCATGAGGGAGCGTGGGCTACATAGTTCATAGAAGAGGGGCTACACTGTGACTTGGACTTCGGAGACCTCTTTCCACTCTCAGTCCATTATGGTTCTTGACAGGGTTGATAATAAATCATTAAACCAACTGGTAACAAATAAGAAGCATCTAAGGATCTAAACCTCTGAGTCTTAAACTTTAAGAACTGTTGGCTCGCCATGGTCAGGGTATGCAAAGGGGCGGGCTGCTTGTGGTCAGCTTAGACAACAAAGATGCACAAAGTTTGGAGCATGCTGAGCGCATTGTGTTTTAAACTTGGGCTAAAAATTTAATTTAAAACATTTGCCTTTAAGAATTATGAAATTTTGATATACAGGTATTGTCTGATTCTTCTTCTTCTTCTTCTTCTTCTTCTTCTTCTTCTTCTTCTTCTTCTTCTTCTTCTTCTTCTTCTTCTTCCCCTTCTTCCTCCTCCTCCTCCTCCTCTTTCTCCTCTTCCTCCTCCTTTCTCATCTTCCTCCTCCTTTTTCTTCTCCTTCTCTTTCTCATCTTCCTCCTCCTTTTTCTCCTCTTTCTCCTCTTCCTCCTCCTCCTCCTCCACCTTTTTTCTTCTTCTTTTGGAGACAGGGTATTGCTATGCAGTTCAGGCCGGTCTTGAACTCACAATGATCCCCCTGTCTCAGCCTCCCAAGTGCTGGTATGACAGGTGTGTGCCACCACACCCAGATTGTACTCCTTTCTGTTCCCTGCAGTGTCCCGTATTTAATACATAGTAAGTGTTTAATAACTGTTGACTGAATTAATGCTGCTTTTGCCGCTACTGCTTCCTGCACCTTGGACATAGTTTTTACTAGCTACTGATTATTAAGCACTTACTGAATGCCAGGCCAAGGCCAATGGCTGTTGAGCATTGTATCCAGGACTCTGGTTATCGCTGCATTAGACTTGTTGGGCTTCTAGGAAATGAGGAGGGCCGCTCGGCCATGAGCTCAACAACCCCCAGTAATGCTGGAAGAAGCCAGCGAAGTAAATGAAAACCAAGTGACACTGAAGATCACTCTTCCCTCCCCATCTTCTTCTCAGATTGCCCTGATGATGTTAACATTCCTGCATGTTTCCACCTCACTTGCTCACGTTTCTGTAAAGTGCCTCTTAGTGCACAGCTGTATGGTCAACTTGTCTTGCCTAGCATTCTACACCAAGATTATTGTGGCTGTCCCTCACACTGGTCTGACCCAGTAGGTGTTGTCCTTTACTTCTATGGCTCTGCCTGGGGGGCACACTTTGGAAGCCCAAAATGGGAGGATGGAGGCAAGGCATAATCGGGGTAGAGAGGAGGAGGCGGGAGGTGAATCTCTCTAGTAGTTGTCCTGGCTGCTCCTGTGAAGCAGCCACCATCAACCTTGTTTCAGGCCCTTGGGGAGGAACACAACACAGCGTGGAAGAGGGCAGTGTGGGCAGTGAGTGTGCTTGACTCTGAAGTCAGTGTTTTTCCTCACTGGGGAATCCATGCACTGATTTGTTTAAAACAGGCTTGAAGCAGAGCACATGACTGTTCTCTCTCTCTCTCTCTCTCTCTCTCTCTCTCTCTCTCTCTCTCTCTCTCTCTCTCTGAGTTCCACATTCACATATGCAGCAAAAGATGGCTGAAAATACTAAACGTGTGCAGGGTTCTCTCTGCATGATTCCCTCGCCGATACAGTACAACGATTCACACGATGCGTGTATTGTTAAGAGCTACAGTGGATGATTACTTCAAATGCATGAGCAGATGTGTTTGGGTTACACGCAACTACTCTGCCACATTATAGAAGGGACTTGGGCGTCTACAATCTTTGGGTCCTGGACCCAATGCCCTTGGACACCAGAGGTCGATTACATCAGCTTGCAGATACCATTCTGTTCTCTTGGCCTCGAATGGAGAGCGAGCGCAGGGCACGGGAGGATGCGCAGAACTGGAGCTGGAGCGCTTCCCTTCTCCAGGCGCAGTCCAGGCACCTCCCGATGGTGGAGGACTGCACGATCTCATCTAAGCAAGGGGATGAAGTCAAATTCCTGCACAGCTAGTAGATCTACAGCGATGGAAAAGCGAGTGCATCGGAGGCCCCCAGGGCCGCGCCGAGATGGCGCAGGGATTTCCCAGAAGAGAGGCTTGTGCGGGACGTGTCCCTGAGCGTGCCCCTTGCAGGACTCAGTCAGGCTGAAGGCAGGGATGCGCCTCTCAGAGACGACGGCAAATTGTACCCAGCACTGCGGCTGCAAGTGCAAGTCCACGTGGGCGAAGATGTGGGTTTTCTAGGCGCGACGAGCTCAGGCGGAGGACAGCGAGCGTCGGTCCAAGGCGCGGCGATCAAAGCTGACCCTGAGCAGCGAGCCGGAGTCCAGTCTCCGTGCCCGACTGCTGAAGGGAGGATGGCTAAAATTAGGGACAATCTGATCGATTCTCTCGCCGAGACTGGAAAAAGCGGAGAGGAGTGTCGGTCTGATACCAGCGGACTCACATTTGCCAGGCCCTGCATCGCCGTTGAAGAGAGGAATTACAGAAAGGGTAAACCCAACAAGGACAGCTGCGCAGTGGGCAGACATCTTGTTCTTATGTTTTGCCTCTACTACACATAAATGGATATCTACAAATCCTCCCATATGTCAGGAACAAGAGGTACAGACTGTAGAACTGAGGGCCGTGAGTGCTGCCCAGGGGCACATATGCATTGGGGTCGGAAGACCAGGAGCTGAGTCGGGGCTCCGCCCCTTCACTTCTGGTGGTGCGGCGCTCAGCAAGCCAGCTCCCTCCCAGCGGGCCAGACCCTCCCAGCAGGCCAGCCCTCCCCCCTCCCAGCGGGCCAGCCCTCCCGCCTCCCAGCAGGCCAGCCCTCCCCCCTCCCAGCGGGCCAGACCCTCCCAGCGGGCCAGCCCTCCCCCCTCCCAGCGGGCCAGCCCCCCTCCTGGCAAGCTGCCTTGCCCACTGGACACGGCAGTAGTGTGGTCAGCACCATAGCCCTGCAGGGGGTGTCTCATTAGATAACTTGGCACTTACTAAGTGCCGGGTGAAGGCTAGTCGTTAGGACTCTTATAAGAAAAGACTATTTTCCTTTGACTGCAGAAATGCCATTTTCTTTTTGGACCTTATATGTAGAAGATGAACAAGGCAAAGATCCTGAGAATCTTCAGAAGATTTTTGAATCAAGCAGTTAACTGGAATGATTCTCACCCTGACTAACTATATATACTGAATGGCCAATAGGCAAGTGACCGTGAAAAACGGATAGAAGAACTTGGTGGGAGGAGCTTCCCTTTTTAACTGTCCACACAGAGTGCCTCCTGTGCCTGCGTGGAGGCGGAGACGTGGCGTGGATCAGGGACGTCTGCAGCAGCACGGAGAGGTGCTCCTGCCTTGGCACTCGCGGAGCACTCTCTTCTCCGTCACCTTCCACAAGGCATCCTTGATCTCTTTATTCCGCAAACTGTAAATGAGAGGGTTCAGCATGGGGATCACCAGGGAGTAGAACACGGACACCACCTTGTCCCTGCTAAGCGAGTAGCTGGAGCTTGGGCGCAGGTACATGAAAAGCGCTGACCCGAACAGCAGCGTCACCACGGTCAGGTGCGAGGCACAGGTGTTGAAGGCTTTCAGTTTGCCTTCCGCGGAGCAGATCTTCAGGACAGCAGCCGCTATGTGACTGTAGGAGACCAGGAGGACGAGGAACGATGCTCCTCCAGTGGCAACTACCACGAGGCAATTCAGCACCTGACTGAGGAAGGTGTCGGAGCAGGCGAGAGCCAGGATGGGTGGGAGGTCGCAGAAGAAGTGGTTGATGACGTTGGGGCCACAGAAGTGGAGTGTGAACAAGGAGCTGGCCTGGATCAGGGAGCTCAGGAAGCCTCCGACATAAGCCCCGGCCACCAGACGTCTACAGAGGCTCTGCGACATGATGGTGCCGTAGAGAAGGGGCCTGGAGATGGCTGCGTAGCGGTCATAAGCCATGGCAGTCAGGAGGAAGCACTCAGTCAGACCCATGCCCACAAAGAAAAAGAACTGCGCAGCACATCCCGAGAACGATATGGTCTTCTGTTCCTGGAAAAAGTCTGCGAGCATCTTGGGAGCCACAGTGGAAGAGTAGCAGAGGTCAATGAAGGACAAGTTGCTGAGGAAGAAGTACATGGGGGTGTGCAGGTGGGTGTCGCCTCTGATCAGGAAGATGAGGACCAGGTTCCAAGCCAGAGTCACAAGGTAGATGCCCAGGAACGTTGCGAAGAGGAAGGCTCGGAGTTCCGGGTGGTCTGCGAATTCGAGGAGGATGAACACGGTCACCGCCGAGCTGTTCCAGGCTTTGGATGTGGCCATGTTTCCCATGAGTCACAAGGACAACGTGCAGACCTGGGTTAACAAGGTTAAGATGCAGACCGTTCACGTAAGAGGTGGTGTCAATAAAGGGTTACAAATGAAGGGCATTACTGGGGGTCATCGTTGACACAGATTCTTTCTCCGAAGCTTACTGGTGCTATTACCTTAACTATTTGCAGCTGATATGACTCTTAGTTCTTGCTGTATGAGGGCTAGCAATAACGTTTGATTCCATTATTACAACTTCTGTCACTTTGGGTGAGAAGCCTGACAAGTCTTGCTTCAGTGACTTTGTCGGTAGAACGGGGTGACAGTGATTGCCTCACGCATCTGTCTTAAGAATTAAACTTGCCAAATGCCTGACACCGTAGTAGTGACCAGTGAGTAATTACGAGGCAGGTTCTGTGCATTTTGGATGAGCCAGCTCATGCCTGTGACCAGCTCCACCTCTGCTTTGCGCAGGTTTCCACATTAGAATGGAAAACGGAACGGAAGCAGCAGAGGCTGCGGTTGTGAGATGTTGCTCGGTTACACGGAATGCTTTTGGTGCAAAGGACCGACCAGCTATGATAGAAATTATCTGAACTGTGAAATACTCACATATGAATATATTAACATTGCCCCAAATTCAAATTTGTGTCAGTTTGAGCTTCCTGAGCTACTGTGTCTCTCAGACCTGAACTCTCTCAGGTCAGTGCTCAGCCTCACTGTGTAGCTATAATCGTTCTAGGTCAGGAATCTACACAATTTTGCAAGTGATGCTTTGTCTAGTTTTTTTTTTCCCCTCAATTTAAGATACTCACTTCATTTTTAATCCCCAGTGCTGACAAATCAGTCTGTGTTCTCACTGCTAGTCACAGTCTCACTGAGCTTTTAGTGATTTTCCTGGAACTAACACAGAGAGGTGAAATTGACCCACAGTAGCTGCTGCTACATGTGTTCAGGGCCAAATCCTGCAAATTTGAACAGTGAGGGGATTTCCAGCTGCTTTTAGTCACCGTGAGGTCAGCATTCATGCAGTTTCAGTGCCTGTTTACAGTAGCTGCGAGCCTGCAGAATGGTGCAAGCATCACCCTACGTTCTGAGTCTCTGCACTGGTGCGGCAAGGGCTGTGCAGCTGCCAGAGTTGCGAAGATTCTATTCGGTGAAAAAAAAAGATAGTCCTGAAGCAAACGGCAGCCTATTTGAATGCAGATGTAGAGTCAGGCGGAGAAATTGGGCGCAAAAAAGGCAGCAGCTCTGCTGGAGCCCCTGCCTGTCCTGGACGCCAGCCTGTGCCGGGAGGCTGAGGCCTGAGCTCCGAGTCAGCGCCGTTTGCGACGCCTGATGTCAGGGCCAGCTGGACGCTGCTTCAGGGGAGCAGGCCGAGGAGGGCAACAAGGGACTGAGAGTCTGTGTAGGCTTCAGGACAGTCCTAGCCCTGAGGCCCACTGCCACTTGGCACGTGGGCTGCCGAGTAGCTCCTTGAGCCTTTTCAATGCCCCATTTGTAACACAGCGAGAACTGATTACTTTCACCAGGTTTGAGGATTTGGCTCATGGGGGCTGAGACAGGATGTTAAACACTCAATTTAGTGCGCCATAACTGGAGACTGTGATGCTTGTTAGTGGCATTTATTCCTTAAAAAATTACTTACAGAAGTGGCTCTTGTTTCGGAAACATTTCCTTCTCTTGTGATAGGTCGCAGAGCTCTTATCTTATAAGAAGAACTTCCTGAATTCACCATGCAAGTTTTAAGAACGGTTTAGAGTGAGGCTGAGAAATTTCATGATTTGTGGGGGTTGATGGATTAACTGAGTCTGTTTTTGACGTTGTCATCAGGAGAAAGAATTTTCATAGCAAAGGGTGAGATTTCCCAGTCCCAGAAACAGAAAGCGAAAAAGGACAAATTGAAACAAAAGGAGACAGAGTTCTTGCTTGTTGGAATGCTGATCACCACAGCATTTTCTGTTTTTTTAATTAATAGGACAGTTTCAATAATTAATACATTGTATACTGTTATCTTCTTAGTGGTTATCCATAGTACAAGAAGCAGACAGAATATCCTGTCCAAACACTATTACTACCAATCTTTCTTCTCATTGAACTCTGTGATCAGTTAGAGATGTCCTGTTGGGTGTCACAGACCAGAAATGCAGACCTGGACCTTTAAACCCAGGGTGTACCTGTCCCAAGGAGCACTGTGTTCTGCATATAGATCCTGCCTCCCAGTCGCCAGCTAAGGGACCTAAGTATCTCTCAGTACTTGACGTCCCACCAGCTCTTTCTCCTCATCTCCACCGTGAAAGCCATGTCCCAGGGAACTAACAGTCCTTCTGAGCTGGACACACAGAATCACCCACCACATAGTCTCTTGCAAAAGCCAGCTAGCATTAGTACAAAAATACTATTGTCCTTTTTGTAAATATTCAAAGAAAATTCTTAGGGAAATCATATTTGTTTTTATTACTTTGTGAGTTTGCAAACCAAAGCATTCAGAGATTCATAAAGCCCAGGTATTCATTAAAAAAAGAAACAAAAGGAAACAAACATATAGGGCTTTGTCTCTGCATAGGATGCCCCAGGTATTATTCTGGAGCATTAGAAAGAAGTATCCTCTGTGGCCCCATAATCTCAGTAGAAAAGTATAAAAATGAGGTATAAAAAGTAAAGCCATATTAATATGCTGAGTTGTGAAAGGCTCAAGTCAACAACTTCTGACATTGCCAGTCCTACTGATAACCAACTACTATTATGGACTACTGGACTGTATTGGGTTATTTCACTGAATTCATGCACCTACAATATTTAAATGGCAATGGAATACCCATCTGTGACAAAACTAAACAAAAAAAGGGGATATAAATGAAGGACCATTTTGTATCTGTATATTCAAAATAGTTAGGATAGATATACAGCTACTTTCTCTTAATTCAATGAATAGAAAGAGTTGTTCTAATTGTGTTTGTGGACAGGATATCATGTCTGCATCTTGTACTATGAATAACCATTAAGAAGACAACAATATGCAATGTATTAATTATTGAAACTGCCTACTAATCAGTTTTGAAACTGTCTCATTGCTATTTGTTTCTCAATAAAATTATTTCAAAAAAAGAAAGAAGTATCCTAAAGGCTGTAGGAAATGCTTTGACTTGCAGAATTGTGCTCATTGAGGAAGAAAGGAAATCTCTCCACTCCTGCAGTGACTTGCAAGGATCCGTTTGGTTTGTTTCTGGACACCCCACAGTCCTGCTGGGGCTTATCCTCACAAAAACTCACCCTGAAACTTGGTTGCCAAGGTGGTGGTGTTGGGAGGTTGTGACGTTAAGGGAGATTGACGTCTTTTTAGTAAGATTAGATGACTTTTCCAGGGAATGGATTAGTTGTCGTCATGTGACACATTAGCTTTCCTGTTCCTGAGAACAACACTGGAAACTCCCAGCTTAAAGGAGGAGAGGCTCACCCTGGCTCTCGGACTCACCGGACCCAGGCTTGCCTGGATCCAGCACAGAGGCATCGTGGTCCTGGGGGAGCCATTGAGCTTGCTGCATAGCAGCCAGGAAGCAGAACACAGAGACAGCACAGCAGAGGAATGGGCCAGGGGGCAGGTGTCGAGTCCAGGTTCACGGTCTGTACCCCACCCAGGCATGCCCACAGTGTGCTCCCCGGACCTCCCAGGCAGGTCCCAAAGCCAATCAGGTCGACACAAAATGTAACCACGACACTCCACTGATTGTCAGCCTGACACCCAAGGAATCTCTTTCAACCACAATTAATCTCTAACTAAACACTATAGCAAGTTCATAATTCCACCGAACACGCTAAAACTATCCCTTGTACAACTAAGCACACAATAATTCTGCCCTCTAAGTCTAAGAAGTTCCAGCATTTTTCAAAAGGCCAAGTCCAAGTCACTTTGGAAACTCAGGCACAATGTGAACTGTGAACCACTGGTTAAAACAAAACCAACAAAAAACAAGTCATATGGTCCCAAGACTTAGCAGCACTGGATAAGCCTTTCTAGCCCAGAAGGAAGGTACTGAGGGACATGAAAGAATCAAATTAAAGAAGGACAGCCCCGGCAGGGCAAGCATGCAGCAGATGGGCGGCCCTGTCGTGGGCAGCGGCTTTGTCCTCCTGCTCTGCTCCATGTACACCTGCTTGCCTTGTCGTTTTTCCATGTCAGGAAGCATCTTCAGGCCCTTCCTGCTGTGGCCGCATGGCCTTGGGTTTCTAGCCTCTCAATCTGTGAGCTAAAGCAGCCTCTTCTTGTTACATATCATTCAGCATTGGGTATTCTGGTTACTGAAACAGAAAACGGAGGAAGAAAATTAACTGGTCCTGAGACCTGGGGCGTCAGAATAATGAGGATGGAACATGTGGAAGGAGCTCTGGAACTGGCGCATGAGCAGAGGCTGGAAGACTCTTGCGGAGCACACTAAAACTTCCATACTGTTTCTAACTTTTTAAAAATTCTCTTTAAAATGGAAAAAGACAGAAATACAAAAAAGCCTAGAATGGGCCCATTTTCTCCCACCACTGTGAGAACCTCGGTGAGGTGGGCCAGAGGAGGGTGCCCCTACCCCTGCTACCACTATGACTGAGGAAGCTGCTTGGGAAGTTCCAGAGACCAGAAGGAACACCAGGGACACAGCAGGGTCCCAAAGAAGGCGAGACTAGTGGTGTGAAAAGTCTGCAGTGACAATAACAATACCAGCCAACGGGAGACAGCCCTCCACAGGACTGCGACCACCTTGGAGAAATCCAGGACTTAGGAACCAGTTGTTTTCTCTTAGTTGTTTTATTTTCTCTTCCTTTTCTTGTTCACCTTCTTTTTCTTTCTTTTGCTGTTTCATTTTCTCTCTTTTATAAACAGGTGGGGAGAACTCCAGCTATGGAAATCTAAACCCATACCCCAAATCCAGAGATCAAATTAAGATAATTCTGTGAATACACCTTTATTCTTTCTTTTCTACCCTCTTCTCTAGTTTCCCAAACCTGGCATGATCATCCTTCGC